CCGTAATTATTTTGTTCTTCTTAATTATTCAGGATCAGGATCAGGATATCTAATTTAAAAATAATACACTCGGTGTTGGGTTGAATAATTATAAATAATTTATTCCCCATGGGAGAAAACTCTAGCAATGACTAGAGAAAAACTCCTCGAAGATAGATACAATTGTATGTAATAAGAGTATGTGTGTGTATGTAAAATGAGACAATTGTACTTGGCGTACAATAGGGGTGAGGGGTTACCTCAACCGCCTTTGAGTTTTTGAAAGTACTCGTAATCTGTTTATATTGATCCGAGAAGATCGAATATATTTGTAATCTGAGAACAGAAGCTAATTAATTGAATTGAGATGAATTATTGATCACGTTGAATGAATAATACTCGCGAGACTTTATATTAATTGTAATGTTTGATAATGAACACGTGAGAAGCACTATGTTCTATGATTTCACTATAAATTAAATTATATTCTGAAATTAACTTAATTGGAATCTGATTAATTATTATTATTGCAGCAAACATTGAAATTGAAAATGATATTACTCATTAATGATGAAATCTCGAGTTCTTTTTGCACGTTGTGTAAATTAAACAATGGCCGCGACGCCACGACAAAGTACCGCGTCGTAAGCACTGAAGATGCTTATTTTATTTCGATGAATTTATTTTTATGTTATGATAAGTTAAAAAACACGAGTTGAATTAAAATTGAATAATTAATCTAATATTAATTTGAATGTATTATTATATCATTTAGTCACAAACGGAAAAGCACTGAATAGCGATGCAATTATTAGCGAGGCTAGCGGGTATATTGTGTAGGTTACAGGTCCCAAACACAACTGAGATATGCACATGGCGTCAAGTGCCTCGTGCTTTGTGCCGGCCGGGCTTCTTCCCGCTAGCTCATGGTGCGCAGGTGCAGCAGCCATTACCAATGCGTCATTGGACATGTTCGTAAAGAACAGTCATAGAAATGACTCTTATTGAGTCTCGAGTATAGTAAGAGTGTTAATATAATAAAGAATCGGGGTGACCAACTCCCTTTGGTACAATTAAGAGAATCAGGGTGACCAATTCTCTTTTGCCTTGGCGGCAAAACAAAACTTCTTTGGGAAAAATTATGAACTTTCAAATTTTCAAATTAATAGTCAAATATTAATATCAGGAAATTAAAAGGGGATAATATATGAGAAACTGGAGATGCCAAAAAAATTTAAAGAAAGCCTCAGATCACATGTAATTGTTGGCCGTGGCGAAGCCGAGACATTTCTTACTTTACTTCCCTCGGTTTGTAATATACTATTTCTATTAGATATTTTTTTTCTTTTGAAACAGTTATTTATAAATAGATAGATTAAAATTTCGATGTTTCAATGGTTCTTTTTTAACATATATGGTGTAAAATTAATAATGGAAATAATTAAAACTATTAATTAATTATAATAGATTTCTACCATATATAATTTAACATATATATTTAACATATATAGTGTAAAATTAATAATGGAAATAATTAAAACTATTAATTAATTATAATAGATTTCTACCATTATTACTATTTATAACTGTAAAATTTCTCTCTCTATTTTCTCAAAGAAGTTTGACTTAATAAAGAAAAGTTATTTTGCTCCACTTCACCCGTCTCTAAGATTTATAGATTTCTTTTTGTTATGTGTTTATTCGTTAATTTTTCTTATTGTTTGATTATTTCTCTTTACTTCGTAATTTTTTATTTAATCATTATCAATATAATCAAAATAATTTTTTTATTGTCAGATGATTCTTTCAATTTGCAATTTCATCTAAAGATATTATTAAGTATTTTTCCTCATGATTAATTAAAACTGTCAAAGATAAAACTCATTAGAATTTCAACACTTGATATTTTACATCATTCATTTATTTAACTTTTTTTGTTGTTTGAGAAGTTCCAAACATATTGGAAATAAATATCATAGAAAAAAATCAATGATAACTTCATAAATAATTATTATTAAATATCATATTTTAAACAATACTTAAAATAATCAATAATAAAATATGCTAATTTTTTTTTTGGTAATAATCATTATGATTAGATGCTGTATTAAGGAAACAATCTTTTCATAATGTTATCTATATTATAATCTAGCGAATATAAACCTTTGATTTGTAGTATATTTTCCATATACTGAGTAAAATTTATAATTTTATTTTTATATCGACAAACATAATAATGAGATGAGTCCATCCTAATTAATGTTAATATTCTAGATGTATTTGTAGGGGAAAAATTTATTGTTGAAAGACCAGATAATTTCTGCGTGAAGCCCATTATATCAAATACAATTACTTTAGTTTGTAAACCTTGACTAATTGCAAATATAGTGCCTTCGCTACCCCAAAGTCTATCAGAAGTAACCATTCTCAAAAAATCATCTATATTTGGACTTTTCAAAACCACTTCTCTTTCATTTATTAAGATTGAAACTTCAATCTCTCCTGATGTCACTAATTTTTCGTAAAAATTGAGATTCATTATCGTTTGATGAATAACAAAAATTTTAAGTTCATAAAATCTGTGTTCATCGTTTAAAATAATTTCAGCTAACGAACGAAATAAACAATTTCCATCAGCAATAATATTATCAAGAAAAAAATTATCCAGAATAATATTGGGAAATCTATTTTCCTGTATCATTTTTTTTTGAGGCCAAGTTTTTTGACTAAAATTTTGTATATAAATTTCAAATTTATTTCTTATATTGTTATAAATTTCTAAAATTACGTTCTGGTTATCTTCTATAATATTCATAATTTCATGTAAAGACACACAACAATGTATTTTATTCGCAATTTGTTCTGCTTTCTGTGTAATAGATTCAACAATATTGTTAGTTATTTCTCGATTATGAATATTATTATCTGTTGTTTGAGTAAGGTCAACGGAAAAGTCAATAGTATTAGAGTGTATTTGATCACCCGTGGTATTTTTATGTTTGGTGTAACTAGTATCAACATTTGAATTTATAATATTTGAATCAACATTTGTAATGAATATTTGAATATCTTGCCATGTTTTTCCATCGAATATCGGTGATTTAAGTTTTCTATGAGCTGCTATAAAATGCCAATTTACTTCATTAATTATTGTAAACGGTATTAATGAACATTTAGTAGTCGGTAAATATTTAGAAATAAAGCATTTTTCATGTGTTTCTTTTACTACTCCTATCACAATTATAATTATTTTTAATGCATCACTCATAGCATAAATCGAACCTTCATTCCCCCATACACCATCACGAGATATCATTCGTAAGAAATCATCTAATTTTGGATGTTTCATAGTGAAATCATTTTTATCTTTAACCGAAAAAGCACCTCGAGTAATTAATGATTCATATTTATTTTTATGGCAAACAATAAAATATATAATAAAAAGTTTTATTTCAATGTATTTTTCTTGGTCATAGAATACCAATTCAGCAAATGTTCGAAATAAGCAATTGCCATCAATAGCTACATTAGTTAACTGGAATGATTCGTTAAGAATGTTATTTATTTAGACACTTTTAGAGGATAAGTTCTTGGTATTCAAGATGAAGTTCAAATTATTGCGGCAATTAGAATGATTAATAAATTTTTCTATCATATTTTTTTCAACAATTCCGTGAATTTCCGAAGAAAGTTGAGACATTAAATTCTTATTTTGATCTTAAAATGATTCAATTTCTTGTATTGTTTTACTTGTTTCGATTTCAATTAATATTGAAAGAAAAACTATGATTACTCCAGTTTTTTGGTTATTATTAATGTTTTGCTCTTTGTTACAATTTTTTTTATTAACATCTTTATCGAAATTTTTTCTTGTAGTTGACCTTAGTATTTTTTTATTATTTATTACGAAATGCAATTTGATTGCCTCTAATAATTTATGTACATTAATTCTGTTATCAAGAGAATGAATAAAATTTGTGAAATTAATTTTTAACGTAGTAGTTATCAATGTATTATCATAATTTTCAGATTTTTTAATTAATGGAATGTAATGTTTAGAATCTAAATCTAAATATATATAAAAATCTTTACGATTATCAACTATTAAAATTTTAACACTGGATAATTTAGATTTTGTTATAATGATAATTGGACGTTGAAGTATTGCTGACATTAATACGACATTTCCTGTTTCTGCACGTTGTTTATCATTTAAAATATTTTCAAAAGATATGTTTTGAAAAAAATCACTTGGAGCATCGTTCAAAAATTTGTGGTTTATAGTAAAATGAATAGCTTCTAAAACTCGCAAACAAGGCATCAATTCCTCTCCACCGCTTATCAACATTGATACAGCGTAATAAAATGAATTATGATTTTCTTTTATGTTTAAAGAAAAGAAATTGTTTAGTAATGACACTAGAACTTTAGAACTAGTTGAATTATATTTTTTGTTTTTGGGTTTAAAAATTTTGTCTTTAACAAATTCGTTTAACTTATTGATTATTTCAAAATCCTTCTCCCCAATAATTTTCATATCAATTAATTTTTTTCTTAACCATCTTCCTTCATTAACTGCTTCAACTAATGTGAGTTCAAGTTCATTCAGCTTTTTATAATTTTTTTCAACATTTAAGATCTTTTCATTTAAGATACATGTCAGTTGTTTATGATGTCCAAAAATTGTTTCAGTAATACCATAATTTAACTGAAAATTAGAAAATAATATATCAATTGTAGTTGATGAATTTGTTGTACTATCAGTAGTTTTCAAAATTGAACGTAGTTATCTTGAATCCAATAATTTAAAAAATGAATGTGATGATTCTTTCTTTAAATCTATGTTGAAATCACCTAAAAATATAATTTTCTGACATTTTTTTTCTGCAATATCTATCATTTTTTCAATTTTATCTTTTATTGATGAGTAAGAAGTTGATGGAGGTTTATAACCTGTACATATTGCAATGTTATTATACACGCCAGTTAGAAGTGAACAGGAACCTAATTTTTCTTCGTTATTATAACTATAATAAATAGGAAATTTTTTATCTTCTCTACAGTATATCACTAACCCATACGCATGTCTTACTCGAGTTTTTGCTACATTAACACGATAAACAATTTCATAACCCGGTACTGTAATATCATCTTTAATTTTTATCCACGTCTCTGCAGCTATAAAAATACAAGGCTTGTATAACTTCATAAAATTATTAAAATCCAACCAGTGCGACTTTTCTTTCAAGCTTTGTATATTTTGATAAAGAAGTGTTTCTGACTCCGAATTATGAATAAAATAACATGATAACGATAATTTCTTCTTCAATAAACGTTTTATTTCAATTAGTATTTTATCATATGGGTTTTGATGTAAAGGAATTTTTAAATCTCCTACGATAAATAATCCAACTAATTTTGTACACCTACTAAAAGCTACATAAAATTCATTTTTTCTCATTCCTTTTGCTAAATGTAAAGCAACAGTTTTATATGTCCCACCTTGACTTTTATAAATTGTAATTGCTTCTGCCGGAACAAGAGGAAATTGTTTACGGATTATTGTCACAATTTTTTTTGTAGGTTGAATATTTTTAGTTATCTTGTCTATAGCAGTCCAATTTTCATGACCATCTTTATAAACTTCTTTTCTTTTCTTTTTACCAATTTGATCATCAGAAAAATCAAACCAAAGTCTAAAAATTTCTTTGTTATCATTCAATTCAAATCCCTTTAGTATCCCAACTGCACCATTGACAAGTCCATCTTCAACATCAATATTTACAGTCAACACATATTTGATACCAATGCTTAATGATAAATTAGAAGGTAATCCTTTAGTATCCTTTGCTCCTATATTTTTACAATAATTAATTAAATTTTGTTCTACTTTATTAGAGCACTTTTCTGTAATTTTATCAACTGCAATAATATTTTTTCTAAAAACATCTTTGTTTATTATTTTTTTATTATAATTATCAACTTCGTCATTAGTACGAAATAAATGGATTGCATCTTTTGGAATATGATTATTATTATGAACTATTCTAGATTCAAAAAGTTTTAAATCATTTTTAGATAATGTTCCATCAGCTAAATTATTAAGAGCTTCAGCGAATTTAAAATCATCCTTCTGCCGCATTATTTCTGTTAATTGATAACTCGTAAATAAATTCCATAAAGGATTACCGATTATATCTCCATAGAGATCCATTGAATGAGCTTGAAAAATATATCTATCACCGACAGGAGCTAATTGATTAAAATCACCAAAAACAATTACTGATATTCCACCAAAAGGTTTTGAAGATTGAAAAATCTGCTTCAACCGACTATCAACTTGCTGAATCATCCTTGAACCTACCATGCTAATTTCATCAATTACAATTAATCTAAGGTCCTTTAATTTTGCATACAACGTATTTCGAGTCCCACTGCTCAATGGAATAAGGTCTGTTGAACATTGATTTAATGGAAGTATAAAAGCTGCATGTAAAGTTGTACCTTTTATTCCAAATGCTGCTTTTCCTGTTGGCGCACACAGTAAAATTTTTGTTGATTCTAAATTATTAGATTCGAAATTAAAGAATCGAAGCATAATTTGGTAAATAGCTTCTATTAATCGTGATTTACCTACACCAGCACCACCCATCACACAATAATATAATGGTAATAAGTAAGACTTGGTCTTAAAGCAATGCAATAAATTTAATAAAAATGTTCTTTGTTTTTTATTAAGAAAACAAACTAAGTTAATAAAATCTTCCTCCGAAATCAATCGAGGTATTGACGTATAATAAACATCTTTATTATCATCCACTTTTTTTTTATTTTTAGCTCCATTTTCATTCATATCTATAGCAATATCACCTTCGTGAGTAGGATCATCAAAAACTTCTAAATTTCTTGGAATATTTTTCTCCGCTTCATTTTCATTATCAAATTCAATTATTTTTTGAATAGCTTCATGTAATATATTTTCTATATTTTCATTATAAACGTATTCAGATCTTCTTTGTTGAATTAAATGTTAATTTTTTAAAAATAATTTAGAAGCAGAATTGATTAAAATATCTTCATTACGCCATGGCACAAATAACATTACATTTTCACGAATGAAATTATCTTTATCTACTTGTTCGTTATAGTTTATAAATCGAATAATTTTTGATTTTTTTCTTTTTCGAACAAAACCTGAATTATCAATAAGTTTTAAAGATACAGAATTGTCAATCAAATCATCATTATCGTCTTCTTCATCACTACAAATTTTATTTTTCTCATGATATTCTTTTGTAGAATAATTATACCAAGTTACAAACGATGCAAGGCATATATTTTCTAACTCATGTGGACGAGAGATGTAATGATCTAATGTACTTTTTACATAGATATCTGTTGAATTTAATGGCAGTTTCTCAAGATCTCGTTTTGATTTAACTACTTGAATTCTATTTTCAGGATCATTTGTATTTATAAATATAACATCTCTTGAACACTTTGATAAAGGTAATGCTAAAATTTAGTAAACCGCTTCTTGGGAACCAAATTCACTTGCTTTTAAAAATGCATTTGCAATCAATCTTAATTGTTCTTTCATCGTATAATTTCCTCTTTTAACTTCATTTGTTACATCATACATTAATCGTGAAAGACCCGAAATAGATTTATTTAGGTAATTTAATACATAACTTGCACACGAATACATATCTAATATGAACTGAATATCGATATTTGCAGAATGAAGTTGTAATAATTCTAGATTATATGAGTTAATCATACATTCATATGGATTTCTGCGTAACATAACTGTTGGTCGATGTAAACCACTACGTACAACTTTTATATATAAATCATATGTTATTTGAAATTTCTCTAACATTTGTTTTATTGTAATAATACTTTCTTCTTTAAAGTTTTCTTCTAAAAACTTTTGTATTTCTTCTCGAATTTTTCGTAATTGAATTTTCTGTTCTTTGTCAATATCAGATAAAGGCTTTAAAATACACGTTTTAATCATTGGAAAAAATGGAATATCAAAACGACATTTTGTCTTTTTTATTCCTTTTTTACAAGTAAATGTATGTCTATGAGTTTGTAGCTTAATAAGTTCTTTTGAAATAAACTTATTCGAACATGTAATAAATTTATCAATAAATTCAATCACACTTGAATTATCTTCTTCTTCATCATTATAAATTGGTGCATTATGAAGCCATAATAAACAATGAATATGTGGAGAACCTCTCTGTTGAAATTCAATCCTATAATAAAAATCTTTTATGTTGTATTCACGAAAAATACTGTTTTTTTCCTTTAGAATTTTAAATAGTTCCCTTATTCGATAATCAAAATATCTGGCAATTGTCACTGGATCACTACTAATCAATCTTGCTTTTTCCTTATAATCCATTTTTTCTGCTTCTTGTAACGTAATTTCTTTTTCATCAACAACTTTTTTTAACATCACAATTAATTCAGGCCATTTGGTTTCTGCTGCTGACAAAGTAAAAAATATACTTGGAGGGCCAATTTGTCTAAATAAAGCGAAAACGTTTTTTTTCTTCTCTTCCCAAAATGATGGCGACCCACGATCATGAGATAAAAATTTGAATCCACTATCATTTAACTCCATATTTTAATGTTATTATCGTCTAACATGTCTCCTGCTTTTATTAATTTTGATTTCATTTTATTTTTCCGTAAACAAAAATTTATACTTGATGCGATTTTCGATGTTCGAAGTTTTAAAGCTGAGAAAAATAATTTAATAATCGTAGCACATCGTCGATCTGATCTCATTATTTCTGATTTGATCCAATTTTGATAAGTTATATGTTCAGGTTTTTTAATTAACTTGCCCCCATAAATTTTTAGAAAACTTAATGCTTCAGTGTATTTATCAAACAATGAAACTGGTAACTGACCTTCTCCTGGAGCAAAGACAATAGCTTGCGTCATTAAAAGAGTTGATTCATCTTCTATGTTCACAGGTTCTTCTTCTTCAGAATTATCATCTGATAAATTATCCTCGATATCATCAACATTATTAATATTTTCCGAAGAATTTTTTTCTGAACTATTATCATTATTATTATCAGTACTATTTTTCTCTCTGTGAAAATCTAATGTGATTTGACAATGTTGGTAGACTTCAGAATCTTGTAATACTAGTGCAGCCTTCTTTATTACTTGAGGCCGAACATTTTCAAACATAACATTAGTCTTAAAAGATTTTTTTCTTCTGAAACAAATTGGAATAATCATCGCTTCAGATTGAACTCTTGGAAAAATACTAACAGAAGTTTCAACATTTGTTGGTACATTAACTGCTCGACCTTTAACAAAATATTGACCATAATTGATAATTGCACGAATCATCATAAATGAAATACGAGGACAAATGAAGCGTTCTTCAAGTTCAGTTAAGTTGGAAATTTCATGAGGTACTTCTGGAAATCGTAATTCTTCATAATACAAAGATAAAGATGGAATTTTATTATTTTTTATCAATCTTTCGCAACTTGAACATAAATAGCCTATGGTAAATTTATCCATCATTTTACATACTAAATGTATTTGAGATAAATCGTAATGTTTTAAATCAGTTTTCACAAAAAATTTTAGTGATGATTTAAACCATAAACGACAACAAGAAGAACATTCATAAGTTGGAACTTCAAATTTAGATAAATTAAATTTATAATATAAGACACTGCGTTGAAAATCTTTATCTTTATTTTTTTTCAATGCTTTTGAGTTTAAAACTCGTTTAACATGTATTTTTTTTCGTTCATCATTCTGTAATCTTTTTGTTTGATTAATAGTCAATTTTTCATTATGAATTTCTCTTCTACTGGTGATACGTAGTCGTTTATTTTGACAATCTGCATTTTTTTTGTTATGTAAAAATCTTTTCTCACCTTGCTCTTATCTTTCTGCTTGACAATCTTTATTGTTTTTATTATGTATTATTCTATTTTTATCAATATTTAATCTTTTATTTTGTGATTGCCTTAATCTCTCTTGATGACTTTCTCTTTTGATTGGATCTTGTAACCTTATGGTTTGATTTATTTTTAATTTTTCTCGATGATTTTCTCTATTTACTTGATCTTGTAACCTTATGGTTTAATTTATTTTTAATTTTTCTCGATGATTTTCTCTATTTACTGGATCTTGTAATCTCATCACTTGATTTATCTTTAATTTTTCTCGATGATTTTCTCTATTTACTACCAGGAAAACACAACGAGTACGGACCTTGTCCAGTAGCTGAGTTTATTTCTTCTGTACATGACGCTCATCACCAATCTATTTTTTTCTTAACAATTAATAATACCTTACGGCATTTTACAGGTAAAAAGTTAATAATTCATAAAGTAGAAACTGATTTTTGTTTGGCAAGTATTCAGGGTATTATATTTGGCTTTAATCAATTTACATTAAAAAAATATTTAGAAATGACATATGAAATTGCAACAAATAAAACAATTAAAGATATTAACTTTACCGTTGTCCATATATGCTCGACTCATTTAATCAACACAGTTAGAAGAAAAATTAAAGATTGTAAAATGAAGCCGTCCACAAGAAAAATTGCTTTGCATTGGATTTCCCAACTCATACACTGCACAACGATTGATGATGCTAAAAAAGTGTTTGCCAATGGTTGCATGGTTTTCAGTCATAAATGGTGTACAGAAAATTTAGATAAGTATGTAGATGACATTTTACCGGATTTTGGAAAGAAAAAAAACGATAATGACAGCTCTTTCGATGACAAT